TTGTCCAGGAAGAAGAACAGAACTAGATCTTCCACTTGTGACTGAGATGCTGGGATGTATCTGTCCTGTCTCTCCCCCAAAGCAGGTTGTATTAGTCAGCTTTTTGTGGTTGTGACCAAAATTCCTGACAAGAACAACTTGGAAGAGGAAAAGTTTATTTTGGCTCACAGTTTGAGAGGTTCAGTTCATGGTCAGCCAGCTCCATTGCTTGGGGCCTATAGTGAGGCAGAACATCATGGTGGAAGGGTGTGGTGGAAGAAGGCTGCTCAGCTCCTGATGGCCAGGAAGCAGAGAAGGAGAGGGGAAGGGACTGCATGGGTGGTTTCTGGGCAGGGGAAAATAGAACCAAAGAATTATTTCAGGAAGATTAGACTGTGGTGTGTACAGTGTATTGGAAAGGAGAGGCAGCAGAGAAGGAGAATGGGAAGAGATGACCTAGGGCTCTAAGTTAGACTTCTAGAGTCAAAATCTGAGTGGCCATGGCAGGGATGGAAAGAACATAGATAACTGATAAAGGAAACATGGTTGGACAAGGTGGTGCACACCTATAATCCCAGAAACTCAGGAGACTGAGGCAGGAGGATCACAAGTTAGAGGCCAGCTTCAGCAATTTAGCAGGACCCTTAACAACTTAGCAAGACGTTGTCTTAAAATAAAAAATGAAAAGGACTGGGGATGTGGCTTAGTGGTAAAGCACCCCTGGGTTCAATCCCTAGGACCAAAATAATATGAAATGAAATCCTTTAAAAAAATGAATAAAAAATCAAAAAGCATGGGGATGTAGCTCAGTAGTAAAGCACCCCTGGGTTCAATCCTCAGTACAAAAGAAAAAGAAAACATTATGTGAGATAGGATTTGGTGACAAATCCGATATGGGAATGAGAGGGGCAAGGTACCATGTAATGTCAGACCTTCCTCCAAAGCATAAACTGTTAGGTCACCCTCCTGAGCCTTAGTTTCCTCATCTGTAGGGTAAGGTTGTTGGATCTCTGTGATTCATTCTGGTTTTCTAATTCTAGTCACATCATTCCACTGACCCAGACCTGTTTACCAGAAGAAACTGCCACTTCCCTGACCTTTTCCTACCTAGTTGTTTAGCTTAGTTTCTTAATCCCGGGTAAGAGTTCCTAGAAAAGTCATCTTAAGTAAATAATAAACAAACTGAGTTCCCGTCTGTCTCACAATGCTCTGCCCACCTGCCTGACTGCATCACCCCAGCAGGCAGGGGACGTGCCGCCGCCAGCTCAAGTTCTGCAGGGTGAGGGATTCCATAGCCCCGGCTGACCTCCCAGGCCTGTTGGCTGAGGGCTGCCTCCAAGGAAACCAAGACCTGAGCCTCGCTTGCCAGGCTTGTCTGCTTGTGGGGAGCTGGGCGACTGGACCACAGGTACCCGGTTGACTTGGGCAAGAGCCAAAGTCTGCATGAGACCTGATAACCTGGAATTAAGTCCTTCCTCTTCATTTCCACTGAGAGAAAACGAGGCGCTCAGCAGTACCGTGTGTTCAGGGTTTGGTTCACTTCAGAGCCTGGGGAGGCTACGTGGGCTCAGGGATCCTCTTCCATGAGGCTTTGCTGGTGGTGCTTAGCAGTGGTCCTTGTGAGTGTGAGAAGCATGAGCCTCAGGAATAGCTTCTATTTTCTTTTCACTTGAGAAGAAATTATCCCTGGCTTCTCAGTTTTACTTCCCCTTTAATTCCTGTGCACAAAGAAAATATCTCTTTCTAGAAGGAAGAAATTTGAAGTTGCTGTTAAATGGTGATAATTCTCAGAAAATTGGGAGCTTTTGTCTCAGTCTTGTTCCACCACCTATTATCTTTTACAACACTTAGTGTTGGTGTAACAGTAAGAATCCCCACTTATCAAGTACTTAGTATGTGTCAAGCAGTACTCTGAGCATTTGTGTGTAGGAACTATCCAAGCTCATGAAATTATGGTGCTAATGAACATCATCCCCATTTTACAGATGGCACAGCTGAGGCATGGGTAGGAGTGAGCTAGCTCAGGAATACAGCTCATCAGTGCCAGAGCTAGAACGTGAATCCAAGCTGTGGCTCCAGAGCCCTTGATCTTCTCCAGGAATCTGTCTCGTTCCTATGTGTGTAATGCACACTGAGGAAATAATGCAGTGTATTCCATCAATGTGAATAATTAATCTGTGCTGTGTTCATGCAGTGAAAGTCTATAGAACGACCCAGAAGAACAAATCAAACTGTCAGAGGCCAGTGGAAGAATCCTGTGGGCAAATTGTGGAGTGAGTGAAGACATAATGTGCAGTTCCACCGATAGGAAGTTCAAGAACATACCAAGGACTCCACATTGTCAAGACCCTGTTTTCCTTACAGGTGGTAATGGGAGAGGGCCCTGGGGCTCTGGTTTTGGAGCCAGGTGAGGGTTTCACTATGGAGTTACCAGGCTAAGCATTTTATATGGATGTAGTACTCCAATAATGTTTATTTTAAACAATGAACTGGGGGCTGGGGGCATAGTTCAGTGGTAGATCCTTGCCCAGCATGTGCAAGGCCTTGTATTCAGTCCCCATTACTGCGGGGGAAAACCAAAATGGGGTGACAGGAAACCTGGGTTTTACTCCTAACAAACTTGTCAGTGACTCAAGTCACATCTGGGACACTGGTGTCTTGGACTATCAATATATTGCAGCCACTGTGTCACCTCTTCATACAAACCTAACCTAAAATCTGACAATGAAAAACAGATTTAAGGTGGTAAAGGGACATAGCCTGTAATTCTAGCTTCTCAGGAGGCTGAGGCAGGAGGATTGCAAATTCTGGGCTAGCCTCAGCAAATTAGCAGGACTCCATTTCAATACAATTTAAAAAAATGGGTTGAGGGGTGTAATCAGTGGTAGAGCTCTCCTGGGTTCAGTCCCTAGTATTGCAAAAAAAAAAAAAAAAATCAATACAATAAATAAGTACAAATAAAAAATAAAATTAAACAGCAGATCTGGTGGGCCTCTGTGAATTCAGGAGGGGAGCTAGCCTGGGCTCTGGTGAGTAGACAGGAACACCCTGGCTTTAGGCTTTTGCCACTGTAAAAGGTGAACTTCTTACACTAGGAGGTCACCTCCCGGGGCCTGGCCAACTCTGGGATCCTGGGATCTCCTGATAGCCAGTGTCCTCTTTCAGCTTTTAACTGTTCTCTAGTGGTTTCTTGAGGGCGCATTCCCTGGCTCTGCAGAAGCCTCTCATAGGTGGGGCTTGTCTTACCTCTGGTATTCCTCAGAGGGGACAGAACAAAAATGCAGAAGGTCCCTGGTGACAGATCCACAATTCACATCTCCGTATGCATTCCTCTTATCAGATTTTTTTCTCTTACATATTCAATAAAATGCAGCTCAATAAAGTAGGGCTTTTGATACAGGGATAGTGTGGAGATTGGTTTTGGAGCATGAAAGCTACTGGGAAATGGAGCACATGGCGGAAAGCTGTGTGCTCCTCGGAGGATAGACTGAGGGTGGACACATGTGGATGGCCATATGTGGGTGAGTTTACAAGGGAGGACAAGTTGGGATGGATACTGTGAAGACTCAGATGGGAGGAACAAGGTACTCAGAGAAAACCCCTAGGCTGTGAAGTTGGTTTGGTCCCAACCTTGGTAATAATAGGGAATCTAAAGTCCAATGATGCCCAGACTTCAGGAAAGAACCTTCTTTATTCAGATACTCCTGTGTCCTTCAGTCTCAGTGGCTTTGGACCGCTATGAGATCCCATAGGCTCATGCTGACCTGCACAGCTGGCCTGCCTGCCTGCCTTCTTTCCCTCCTTCCTTCACTCAACAAATATTGATTGTGCACTATGTGCCGGGCTGTTCTAGATATCAAGGATCTGCCTGTGACAGAAACAGACAGAAACATCTCAGTCTTCATGGGGAGACATGAACATAAACGAGATAATAGGCCAAACACTTAGGATGTACGGATGACAAGGACCTAGGATGTACGGATGATAGGGACCTAGGAGAAGGGAGTCAAGCATCAGAGAGCTTGAGTCCTAGATGGTGAGGCCAGGAGGCCTAGCTGAGAGGTGACTCATTGGCCAGAAGCCAGAGGACCTACCTGGGAGGATCAGGGATGGGAGGAGCATCCCAGGCTGCTTAGGAGCTGTGTGGCCAGAGCCTGTTCCCAGGGTCCCTTTTTTCTTTGCCCTCAGGACCAGACATAGCAGTGTCCAGAGAGGGCTCTGAAATGCGCCTGAGCGTTATTTTGACCTGGGGCCTGGGGTGAGCATCTTTGCCTTGAATTTGATCTCTGTGTGATGAAGAGGTGGACTTGTCATTAAGGCAATGGCAGCCTGCACTTTGCCAGTTGCAACTGGGGGAAGGTTGAGGGGAGAAGGGCCCTCTGGGGCCCCTCTGTGTGTCTGGCCTGTGCCCGCCTCCTGTGTCCAGTTGTCTCTCCTGGTCTTCTGCTTCTGGAAAGTGGATTGATGGGACAGGGACAGAGGGCATTGGTCATTACCTTTGAAACTAACTGCCTCTGGAATTGGCCTCAGTCCCAGTTTTTCACCAACTATGGTCTCTGTGCCTCTCTGCCACTTGGGTGTCCTTGAATAGGTATTTCATCTCTCTCAAATTGTTTTCTTATCTCCAGAATAGCAATAACCTCTACCTGGCTAGGTAGTTCTGAAGATTAGAGACTATCTGTTTAAATTACCGAACACAATGCCTGGTACATTCAATAAAAGGCAGCTATTATTATATATCAGCAATTAATAAAAACAACAAACACTTCTTAAGATCTGTTCTCTCTCTTGTTTTACCAGGTAGGAAAATGAGGGCACAGAGACCTTAAGCTATTTCTCCAAGGTCATGCAGCTGGAATTTGAACCCAGGCAGTCTGGTTCTCATTTGGAGAGGGGCGACTGATGAAAGGGGAGCTGGCAAAAGCCTGAAATCATATATGCTGTGCTACTTTTGAGCTGTTTGTCCAAGTTCTTTATTCTTTGCTTAGATCTTTCTGATTAGGCATCAATTAACAGTTTGGGGTGGGGATATAGCTTAGTTGGTAGAGTGCTTGCCTCGCATGCACAAGGCCCTGGGTTCAATCCCCAGCACCACCCCCACCAAAAAATTAACAGTTTGTTTCCTTCTGTGCTGAAAGACTCACCTCTACAAGGAGAAGAAATGGGACAGGAGGCTAAAAAATACAACACTCTGGTGATTGGCCAAGAAGTGCCTGGGAAACGATCAGAGAATTTTTCTCCCACTGTGGGATATTGTCATCCTTGGGGACCTTCAGAGGACTGGTGTGGAGGCCCTGGAAGGTGGTAGACAAGGTGGAAAAGAGAAAGAACTCCCCTACTGCCCACCTCCCACTGTCTCGGGCTTTGCTTTCCAAAGGTGAACCAAAGAGCTCAGGCCACCTGAGCGGGATAGAAAGGCCTGCTACTGTCTGAGCAGCTGGCACCAGAGAACAGAGAGAGAGTGTATGTGTTTGTAGAGGGGGACAGGGGGCAGGCAGAAGAAATCCTCATTCAGGCCCACTGTAGCCAAATGTGCTGGCTACAGGGTGGAGCCCTTAATCCCAGTGTGTGATGTCATTTGGCAAGTGGTGAGGAGATCGCTGAGCCACCTGAGTGACAGCCAAGTGTAGGACATACCTGGATTCTGCACTGGAGGTGGGGCTCAGTGGGAGAGTGCTGCCTTCAACCTCCAGCTCTGCAAAGGAGGGTGAAGAGGAGGGGGAGAGGAGGGGGGAGGAGGAGGAAGAGGAGGAGGAGAAATGATTGGACTCTTCATATTCAGATTCTAACTGATCAGCTTCTAAAAATGCCTGTGATTAGTTTGGATGGATGGATCAAAAGGAGAAAAAAATAAAACATTTTTTTTTGGTGATAATAATAGTACAAGACCTATTGTAAAAAAGACAGGAAATACCAAGAAAGAAAGACATCATCCACAATTCCATAACAGAAGCACACATTATCAACATCACAATTTCATTCTGCTTTTATTTTTTAAATATTTATTTATTAATTAGTTCTAGTCAGTTATACATGACAGTAGAAAGCTCTTGAATTCACTGTACACAAATGGAGCAGAATTTTTCACTTCTGGTTGTGCATGAAGTAGAGTCACACCATTCATGCAATCATACGTGTACCTAGGGTAATGATGTCCATCTTATTCCACCATGTTTCCTGCCCCTTTGCCCCCTCTCCCCTCCCCTTTGCTCCATCCAAAGTTCCTCCACTTAGCCTATAACACCCCCCCCCCCCGCCACCCATGGATTAACATCCACTTATCAGAGAAAACATTTGGCTCCTGGTTTTTTGAGATTGGCTAACTTCACTTAGCATGATATTCTCCAACTCCATTCATTTACCTGCAAATGTCATAATTTTATTCTCTTTTAATGCTGAGTAATATTCCATTGTGTATATATCCACAGTATCTTTACTCATTCATCTATTGAAGGGCATCTAGGTTGCTTCTACAGTTTAGCAATTGTGAATTGTGCTGCTATAAACATTGAAGTGGCTGCATTACTATAGTATGCTGATTTTAAGTCCTTTGTGTATAGACCAAGGAGTGGGATAGCTGGGTCAAATGGTGGTTCCATTTCAAGTTTTCTAAGGAATCTCCATACTGCTTTACAGATTGGTTGCACCAATTTTCAGTCCCACCAGCAATGTATGAGTGTGCCTTTTCCCCCACATCCTCGCCAACACTTATATTGCTTTATACCTTTATTATTTACTTATTTATTTTTATGTGGGTGCTGAGGATTGAACCCAGGGCCTTTCACATGCTGGGCAAGTGCTCTATCACTGAGCTACAGTTCCAGCCCCTGCTTTTTTTGTGGGGGGGTGGGGGTGGGGGTGGATTACCTGGGATTGAACTCAGGGGCACTTAGCCACAGAGCCACACCCCAACCCCATTTTGTATTTTATTTAGAGACAGGCTTTGAACTCAGGATCCTCCTGCCTCAGCCTCCCCAGCCTCTGGGATTACAGGCATGTGCCACCATGCATGGCTCTAGATTTTGTTTTCCAATTGCCCTGCTTTTAGTGATTCAGAGGATGTTCTACCCTGTGTATCAGTTCTCTGCTAAACAACAAAAGCGTGGAACATGTTCCTGAAACTAAGACATGCTCTGATGTAATATAGAGGCCAATGCTGACATTCTTTAAAAGACAAATGTTCTTAAGTGAAAACAAGGACCAGAATAAACATTTGTACACCAGTGTTCATAGTGGCCCTGTTCACAGCAGCAAAGAATTGGGAGAAACTCAAAGAGTCCATTAAAGACCAGGAATGGTGGCTCACCTGTAATCCCACCTACTTGGGAGTGTGAGACAGGAGGATTGTAAGTTTGAGGCCAGCCTGGACAGCTTAGCGAGACCCTGACTCAAAATAAAAAATAAAAAGGGCTGGAGATGTAGCTCAGTGGTAGACCATCCCTGAGTTTGCTCTCTAATACCGAAAGAAAAGGGGGGGAAAAAAAAGAGTCCATCAAAGGATGAAGGGATAACCAAAAGGTGATCTGTATACATGATGGAATATTTTATAGCCTTTAAAAGAGGGAAGTTCTGACATGACACGTGCTACAACATGGTTAATCCTGGACAAGGTCATGCTGAGTGAAGTAAGCCAGTCATAACAATACTAATATCATATGACCCCACTTACATGAAGAGATGTCAGATTCCTGGAGTCTGAACGTGGAAAATAGCATCGGTGATTACCAGGGGTTGGAGGGAGAGGAGGCTGTGGAGTTTCCTGTTTAATGAGGATGCAGTTTCAGCCAGGAATGTAAGAATGTTCTGGAAGCAGACAGTGGTGATGGTTGGGTGACAATTTGAGTGGTCTTAATGCCGCTTAACTGTATGTTTAAAGATGATTAAAGTGGTAAATTTTACATTATGTATATTTCTCTACAATAAAACAACACCGGGACAAAAGAGCTGGCGCAGGGTTCCTGCTTCCTGTCCTCACACCTTGCCTAGGGAGATTCTTCCTCTCTCCTGAAGTTCTTCCTCTAACTCCTCCCCTGGCTTCTCTGGCTGGGGTAGCAGCAGGTGTGTGAGGGGTGAGCCTGAGAGTGAGAACACATCATCCTGCAGCTGATACTGGGCGGGAAGAGGGGCAGGGTGGTGCCAGCCTCTATGTCCTGGTGCCGTCCCTGTCAGGGGGAAGCAGGAGTCTCTCCAGGATCTCACGGGCCTTCCCTCCGTGTTCCGCTCCAAAGTGCAAAGCACCAGGCAGAGTAGCAAGCACTGATCTGGTGGGCTACACACAGGCCTTGGCTGTGTGATGCAGCCTTTTTAAAAGGCTATATAATATTCCATCATGTCACCCTCAGCCAGGCCTCCTCTAAGCTTCTAGCATACTCTGACTGAGAGTCCCTTGGTTGTAAGGCAGGGGGAGCCAGCAGAAGGGGAAGCAGGACCATCCTGCACCTCACCGACTCAGCTGGATGATGTCCTAATGTGGGTGAAGTTTGCCATCCAGTCTGAGGCCTGGGGCCGGGGCAGTGGGGGCAGAGGGCAGAGCCTCTGCCAGATACCGTGATGCCTTTTCCCAACTCCCCAGGGCCCCACTTGCTTCACAGCAGGAGCAGCCAGAACTGCTAGTCCCTACAGACTCATCCTGTGGCAGGCCTGGCAGGCACTGGGGCTCCAGAGCACTGTGCATACTCACATACATACACATGCACACGCACCCAGCCCTATCGCTAGGAGATTCAGTCTTTCCTGGCCTCACTTGCTTTTCTTCCTGGGGACTTCCATTGAGTCTCCAGCAGGGAACTTTCTCTGGAAACTCCCTGGGAGCTGAGTATCTTAAGAATGTATCCAGGCTTCTTTTAGAAGGTCAGCCCGGTTTAAGTTCTCCAAAAGCTACAAACAAAAAAGCCGTTCTGTGTTGCTTCAATGGCTTCTCTGAAGCCACGTGGAAAAGTCTCAGGCTCAGCATGGACACCAACCTTAGGGGTCTGCTTGTTATAGACTCTGCTCTCTATTCTGCAGACGCCACTGCGGTCTTGTTCACTCCCAGCACATCCGGCTCTTATTTCCTCAACAAGGAATACAATCCTTGCAGCCGGGTACCACTGCCCAGCCTGAAGCTTGGTGACCAGACAGTGCTGTGGCGGGGATGGTGGATATGCCAGCCTTCACATGGCTAGACTTTCCATTCACTTGAGAAGCTTTTAAAAAATTGTCAAGCCTGAGCCCCTTTCCAGGGATGTGACCTTATTTGGCCATGATGGGCTTTACACATTTTTATTTTTTTAATTTTATTTTTTAATATTTATTTTTTAGTTTTCGGTGGACACAACATCTTTGTTTGTATGTGGTGCTGAGGATCGAACCCGGGCCGCACGCATGCCAGGCGAGCGTGCTACCGCTTGAGCCACATCCCCAGCCCATTTACACATTTTTAGAAGGCCCCCAGATGTTCCAGGAAAAGGAGTTCACTTGATGCTTTGACTGTATCCCTGGTTGCTTTGAAACTTACATGTTTTTTTTTTTTCTTTTCCCCAGCCTTCTTCTCCTTGACCTCCTCCTCCCTGATCTTCTTTTTCCTAAACTTTTCTCTGATCTTCTCCTCCCTGATCTCTCTTCCCTAATCTCATTTTCTCTGAATCACCTCTTTAAAACGCTCACCCTGTTCCTGCTGATGGGCAGAATTTACAGCCTTTGCGATAGGAGTCCCCAGTGTTTCTCCTTTGCTAGCAAAGCAATACACTGCCTTTTTCCTTTTTCTCAAAAAAGTGTCCTTGTTATTGAATTGGCATCAGGGACAAGGACAGAGCTTTCTGCAAAATCACCCCCTGTCCCTGTACTGGGGGTGGAATCCAAGGTCCCAGGCATGCTAGGCAAGTGCTCTACCATTGAGCTACATCTCCAGTCTTTTTTTTTTTTTTTTGGTAGTACTGGGGATTGAACCCAGGGCCTTGTGCATGTGAGGCAAGCCCTCTGCTAACTGCTGAGCTATATCCCTCCCCTGTCCTTTTAAAACAATTTTTATTTTGAGTTAGGTCTCACTAAGTTGCCCAGTTTGGCCTCAAACTTGCTGTTCTGCCTCAGCCTCCCCGGTAGCTGGGAGTACAGGTGTGTGCCCC